GAGGCCCAATGTCCTTCTGCTACCTTAATACTAAACCTATAAATATATGAACATAGATCTATTTCCCCATCCTCATATTTAAATATATTTGCATATGTACATGCCTTTATTTAGACCTCTATAAATGCCCTTTGCATCCCAGCTCTTTCCTTTATTTCCCTTGACTTTCCTCCTGTTCCACTATCATGCTCAGTCCCCACCAGGGTTTCCTCTTGGTTACATTACCTTTGATCATGCCATACCAGGCCTCCCAAACCCTCCTCACCACCGATTTGGATCACTTGTTGTTCCCTTGTCCCTGATTTGTTAACACCACTACCTTTCCTCCTACCTCCCCTTCTCCCATGTCCCCCTGGAACTGTCGGTCCGTTGTTTTCTCCTCCAGATTGTTCATCCAGCCTATCTTATTTAGACAGACCTGCGAAGATAATAACATGCACAAAAACAAGACAGAGCAAAACCAAGCAACAATATACAACAAAACAATAACAACAACAAACCACTAACAAAGAACAAAACAAAACACAACAAGAAAGAAAGGCTTGTAGTTAGTTCAAGGATTGTTTGTTGGCCTTTAGGAGTGTTTTCCAGTCCAGTCTGTTGGGACACCACGCGCCAAAGTCCCCCGTCAGCATTCCCTGGGGGACCTTGCTATTCCGCTGCACCCCCCACCTCCCCCCCAGTGCTTTGCCTCAGTGTGGTGGGATCAGATCAGGTGCAATTCCTACACTGTGTCTCCGGTGCTGTCCCTCACAGGGCCATGGATCAGTGAGGGGCATCATGTCTCATCGTCGGGCTGGCCATGTGGTCCTCTCTGTGGACTGGCTGTTCTAATTGGGATCATCGTCCTCAAGGCCTGGTGATTTCAGGGTTTTACCCATCAGGGGGTTCTTCATACACAACTGGCACTGAGAACCATTACTTCAAGAGATTTCAGGGTTTTCCTCTCGAAGTAATGGTTCTCAGTTCCGGCTGTGTATGAAGAACCACCTGATGGGAAAGTGATATGCACAGTGAGAGTTATAAGCCTTCCCAGGTGAATCTAAGTAAGTAACCAAGATTGAGACCTACTGCTTTATGTAGCAATAAGCAGTTAATTTAAAAATGCCTCTTATGTCTTATGTGTGCTTGTTATTTATTTATTTATTTTTAAAATCATTTTTTTGGGGGGGCTCATACAATTCTTATCACAATCCATACATCCATACATTATATGTGCTTGTTATTAAAAATATATATATAATTGTACTCCTTTTGTCTCTAAGAAATTATAAGCAAATATTTTTCCAGATCTCATGGGCACTTGAAAACACATCTTACATTTAGAGCGATGTGATTAGGGAGCCTGTGATGAGTTCCTTTGTAATTTTGAAGATACTTATATCACCCATTTCATAAATGAATGTTATGTAAACTTTTGATGAATCAATGACTAGTATATATATATTGTTTTTCAGATTCCCAGGAAATCTAAACTGGCAGTCCACAGGAATATTAGAGATGATGAAGGCTTCATTATCAGACATTTTGCAGGAGCAGTGTGCTACGAAACAGTGAGTATATCTTTCACTTGGGGGATGGAAGGGGAGGCCTGGATTGATGGCAAAACTGTGCTGTCCAGTATGGTTATCACTAGTGAGACGTAGTTTAAAATGGAGATTAACTCAAATAAAATTTAGCTCTTCCGTCATTCCCACGGTTTAAGTGCTCAGTAGCTACGTTGCCTGCTGGCCCCCGTTGGACCCGATGTTCCTCATCGTTGTTCGTGGATGCTATCAAGGCAGTTCTGACTTTCTGCAGTCCTACGGCACAGAGTACCACAGCCCCACAGAGTTCATTAGGTTGCAGTGTTTAGGGGAGCAGATTGTGAAATATCCTTTCTCCCGGGGAGTGCCTGGTGGGTTTGAACTACTGACATTTAATTTGCAGCCTAACCATTGTGCCACACATGTGTCAAGCCTGTGTTGGAGTTCTTCTCATCATCACAGTAAGTTCATTTGGAGAGCACTGTGTTAAGGAATATTATCACCAGAGAGACTGAATCACTCCTGCTTGCTTTATTTTTCAGACCCAGTTTGTTGAGAAGAATAATGATGCCCTACACATGTCTCTTGAGTCCTTAATATGTGAATCCAGAGATAAGTTTATTCGAGAATTGTTTGAGTCATCCACAAATAACAACAAAGATACTAAACAAAAAGCAGGAAAACTCAGTTTCATCAGTGTGGGAAACAAGTTTAAGGTATTTGTCTTAAAAATTTGATTTCTAAGTTTATTTCAGATAAATCATGTTGTTTTATACTCTAAAAGGTATAATGTAGACCACTTGTTACAAATGCCCGGAGGAAAGTTCAATAGCAGTTCCCATTGTATGTATGTAAAATATCATAAAGTCGTCTAATTATGGAACATACGGAAATGCCTGTACTTTTCTGAATATGTTCTTTCTTGGTGCTTAGCATCTCCGATTGCCTCTCCTAATGTTCTTGCTTCTGCTGCCTGTCCGATTGACCTTCCAACCTGCTCTCTCCCCCTTGTTTTCTGTTTCCTTCCTGATCCAGCGTTTGTTTGAGCTGGAGCAGTTCAGCTCCAGATGTCTAGAGAGAGAGCGCTAGTTGAGTTGAGAGGAAAAGCAGGCACAGCCAGGGGCTTCAGGTAATGAACACCTTCGTGGACTCCCGTGTACAGAGTGGCTGCAATGCTGAAAAGAGCCTGCCTCACATTAATGACTCAGCTTGTAATTCCTTTCGGTGTGTTTTCTCTCACAGTGGCGTCACGGATGTGTATATTACACGAAAATTTGATTTTAAAGCTTTTAATAACTTCTGTAAAAGATAAGTGCTTGAATATGGCAAACCCTTCAAATTGCAAATTTAACACTGAAGAACATTTAATTTGTTTTATGAATTTCAGATCAGGAATTTTTTTTGGTGTGTCCTCTCAAGGAATTTCCACAAGATGTGTCTTAGCAACAGAGCTCTGCTCTTTCTAAATGTTGAGCCTTTAGCATAGGAAAAATAATTAAGAAACCTTTGTCACAAGTTTAATGAAAAATGAACTAAATGAATAGGACAAAGAAATATAATTCCTACAAAGTATTCCTAAAATAATGCTGGATATGCCTTGATGTTAAAAATTTTTAAAGTTAAGCATGACAACTTTTAAATTAACTGTTATTATCTAATGTATGTGAGCTGTCTCAAATCTCCTTTGAGTTTAAATGGATTCTAAGTAACTTGGAAAAAATAATATTATAAAAACTGATGGTTTTAACCTTAAACATAAATATGCAAGAAAGCTTTTGAAATAAAATTAAAACCCTTTAACTTTTATTGTAAATTATATATTATTTGTGAACCCCTACTTATTTGGATGACTTGTACTTTTTCTCTTATTTGAATCATCTAAATTTCCTGAATAGACATTTAGTAAGTAAGAGAGTGGCTTAAGTATAGCAGTTTACACAAAATGGATATGATTCATTAAACATCTTTCCACATGTTACACTGCTGAAAGTTAAAACAAACGTTAATATAAAACATTTCACATGCTTGAGATACACGAAGCAGTAAAGCCAATCTAGGCTAGCTTTCACAGTAAAACCTAGTAAGCCCAACATCAGTGGGAACAAAAAGTTTTCCAAAGGAGTGGTTTTTTCCCACATACTGAAATGTAGCTGCCAGTATCTTAGAAAAAGTAACTCTTGATGGAAATATTTATTAATCAGTGATGATCAACATGGATGTTGTATTTTTTGATATTAAAAATAGATTACAAACAGCACGAGGTGCATAAGGCAGTTGTTTGTCCTTGTGCGGCTGGTCCTTGGCTCCTATTTTTGGATCATTGTCTTTCTTGCCTCTTTTCTTGGTTGCTGTTAGTTTACTTTTTCTGCTGCTCCTCCCCCAGTCTGTTATCTCCCTTTCTTTGAAGGGTTCTGTGCTTAGTCTGTGGATTAGGGGCATGGACTTTGTGACAGTGATTTTCTTTTCAAATTAGCAGCCCTGTGCTTTCTTTTTGGTTGTATATGCTGGCCGGCCAGGTAGATATGACTATATATTTTTTAATGATTTAATTTAAAAAAATGGAGACTTCACTCCATTTTCATAACTTAATCCTGCTCTCTCATGCGTGAAGGGTTTTGTAGTATCAAGGATAAGCGTTCATGTTAGGCTGTGTTGGAATCCTGGCTTTGCGTTATTAGCACCATGATCTTGGAAAGCTATTTATCTTCCCGGACCTCAGTGTTTTCACCTCTAGTGGAGACTAATAATATATCCTTGATTAAAATCAAATACGATAATATCCAGGGTAAGCTTAAAAGTCATCTATATTTGTTATTAATTATAACACACGATAGATCCAGTATGATGATTTAAGAATTAACATCTTAATTCCTCCTTTGTAAGTAGCACAATGAGCACGTCAGTATAAAACCCAGATAAAATAATTTTATATAATTAATTCACGTTGCAGAGTAGTAAATAAATAGCTCTAATGTATTGGATTTGGGCAAGTTATAATTAGATAATATTATTAAAAGCAGGACAGCATAATTTGTAATACATATTTTCAAATGCTATTTTGAGGAAGTTGCCCAAGTGTAAAAAATAGTTGAATTGTACAAATAGCTTCTGTAGCTAGACAGGACAGTATTATCTATTCTAAGTCATAGGAGCAGCCCTTGTGTGTATTGTTAGTGTCTTCGTTCTGAATGGCATGTGACTCAAACACACCTCGCTTGCCGCACAGTCAAATAAGCAGTCGCCACTAGTTCTTCCCTTGTGCGCACACATTCCCCATAGTCTCCTCACCTGTAAGCATGCATGTCCTTTAGAATTGCTATTTTCCTATATTTTAATCATACACGTCTAACTATAGTGTATTATTGGCCTTGACATTACACTAGCCATTTTGCATGATGTTATTTGTTAAAGAGCTTGTACGGGAAGTTGCCAGATTGTAATATGTTATATGTGGTTGTTGTTGCATGCCATTTTATTCTATAACGGTGTACATATTAAATGATATGTTTGCTGTTAGTTTACTTTTTTCATTGGGCACTTCAAATTTCTGAAATGGTAAAATGATTTATTTTACAGACACAGTTAAATTTGCTTCTGGATAAACTTCGAAGTACTGTGAGTATATTTAAAAGGATTTGTTGTTGTTTTATTGCTTTATGGTGTTCCTAAGCTATTATGAGTGGTTACCTAAATCTAAGTCCAGTAAACCTGGAATACCCAGAAATGCATTTTTATCAACCTTTCTTTCATTTCAAAAGTTGCATTTTTAAAGAATTATTATTTTGGTTAGGTTTGTTCAGTAGAATGGGCAAGTAATATGCAATCGCAAATGATTTTATAAAGATGAAAAACCCATCAGATGGTCTTCAATTGAGAGGATCTTATTGGAGGTGGTGTAAGTGAGGCAAGGCTCCAAGTTACGTGTTTGTCAGAGACCCGCTTCACTGATAGTCTTCCTCTCAGAGCCCTTCTCCAAAGCACCGAGGCTTTGTCCTGGCTGTGGTTTCGCTTGCCTTATTGTTGGAATTGCTTTTGGGACCACTCAGTTCTTTTCAGTGTCTTCCTTGGCTCTAAAGCCTTAAGGTTACTTTTGTGATTTATAACAAAATTCACTTCTAAGATGTGTTCTGAAACTGTTAGCAATGAATTAACCGTGCAATTTTGCAAGGTGATTGCTTTGAAGATAAACAATTTTTGGATGTGTAGTGTATTAACCAGAGCCCTCAGTTTCATTTTCTACATAATCAGTACTCTGCCTCATTCAGTATGATCACTGATTCAAATGAACGCCTTTACGCTTTTGAAAGTATTCTTTATCAAACAGAACTTTGAAATGGGTGATGATTCACCTTTGGGATCTGTTGTAAATTTTTATAGTGGAATGATTAAAAAAAGGTTTTTCTTTTTTCCTCTTTTTAACCCTTTGGTGTAAAGTTTAAGGCTCATAATTTCAAGTTTTATTTACTTCTGTTGTCAAGGGGTACTTTCTTATAAAAAATACATGGCACATGAATATGTTGGAAGCCAGAATAAAATCCCATGTACATCAGCTTGTGAAATGCATTGTTTAAATAGGTTCAAACAATGAACTGTGAAAGGTCTCTCTTCTACCAATAGCAGTGTTTAACATTCAAAGTGTAATTAAAATGTGTAGTATATATAGCGTGCAAATTCATTCCATGTTTTACATAATTATAAAAGCATACTACTAAAATTTCCTTAGTGATTATTTTGAGTGTTTCATGTGTTAATGACAGCATGCTCTGCAAGTATCTGTCATTCATAGAAATGGAAAAATAAGAATGCTATATTGATTACCTCAAAAGTATCTTTATACCCTCAGGGAGCAAGCTTTATTCGTTGCATCAAACCCAATTTAAAAATGACAAGCCATCACTTTGAAGGCGCTCAAATTTTGTCTCAACTTCAATGCTCAGGTATTTCCATACTTTTATAATATAGGCCAGTAATCTTAACTGAGATACATCTTATTAGGTCTAGTGTTTTCCAATAATTTATGGCTATCTTTTCTCTAAGTACAATAGGATATTTATCTTGTATTTACTTTAGTTATAAGAAATATGCTGCTAAAACAATGGGACCGACAGTTCCAGGGGGACATGGAAGAAGGGGAAGTGAGGGAAAGGAAGTGGTGTTAACAAACCCAGGGACAAGGGAACAACAGTGATCCAAATCGGTGGTGGGGAGGGTGTATGAGGCCTGGTAGGGTGTGATCAAGGGTAATGTAACCAAGAGGAATTACTGTAACTCAAATGAAGGCTGA